TCAGCAGGAGAAAGCTGGAGAGAGTGGAACTACTTAACTCTTATCAGTTTGCAAACACCATGTAGTGCAAATGCGTGTTGGGAGGTGGTGAACTCTTCAGCTCAGCGATAACCTCCCAGCATTGCCGCGGCTGCCTCAGAAGTGCAGGCAGGGCATTTCTCCCCAACTCGATGCCTCCTGCCTGGACCTTTTGGGCTTTATAACCAGGAAAGGCTGCAGCATTAATCTTAATCAAGGGGAGATGATGATTTATTCGGCAGGGCTGACTGTGGTGCGGTTTTATGCACAATGCACTTCCCAGTGGGTTTTGGCCTAAACCATAGGATCGGATTGAGCTGCTGTAGTAAAACTTCAGGAAAATGAGTAACGTATTGTTTTGATATCTGTGGAGGAATTGGGCAAAGTAGCGGTGGGTATATGCGATGTGACGTGCTTCTCCCTCCGAGCGCCTGCTGTTCCACCAGCGCAGTGAGTTTTCTGTTAGTGGCAACACCGACAAGGCAGTAGTTAAAGCTGTCACTGTTTCCTGAATCCAATTTTTCAAGAGGTTTATAGCTCTGCCATTATAAGAAGAAGAAAAAAAAGATCACTGAAATTGGCTAAACAGCCATTCCATCTGGAAGAGGCATGAAATACACGTGCTTCCAAGCTATTGGTAAAACTATACAGATGCTTTAAACAAAGTTCATGATACCATTTGGCGTCACGTTGAAAGTCGTCTTTGAGGCTTTCTTAGTCCAATTCTTTCTTTTTGGCAGTGAGTTCACAGAGGAGAATATCCTTATTTGAGCCCAGTTTTCTGAAAGAAGAAAGCTTCTAAAACGAACAACCTATAGTTTCACTTTTTCCTGCTGTTCAGCCTTAGTTTCAGTGAAGTTTAGGTTTAGCCTCAAGATATAAGCAAAACTTTAAGACACTTGGATAGTTAAAAAAACACTGTGGTGGAAAAGTTTTTTAAAAAATTCTTAGGATTAGAGAGATCTGTTCATAAATCAATGTTAGATTAATCTCTCCTGTACAGCCTCTGATTGCGATGAGTTTTGAGCAGCAATTTGCATGTCTGTGTCACCCCACTTAGCACAACTGTATTTGTCTACTTTGATTGGCAACACCATGTATTTCTCTCAGAAAATACATAAATGATTCACATGCATCAGCATGAAGTGGGAAGGGTGAGCTCTGGGCATCTGGATTTAGAGGAATGCGACTCTGTTGGTTGAATTCAAGCATCAAGGGCATTTATGCTGAAGGTAGGGGCTGACTTGCAAACGTGCTTTTTCCCTTCTCACAGTTAGACCATCTGGTCAGCAGGGATCAGTAGTGGGAATTCTGCCTATGGGGTGGGGTAACTTGTTCACTCTAAGCCTGTGTGGCATGTTGTGCTTTTATATTTTTTGTTAAAGGTGTATCTTCTAGTAACTTTAAATTCCCAAACATGTCATAGAATCACAGAATGGGTTGGAAGGGACCTTAAAGACCATCTAGTTCCAACCCCCCTGCCATGGGCAGGGACACCTTCCCCTAGACCAGGTTGCTCAAAGCCTCATCCAGCCTGGCCTTGAACACTTCCAGGGATGGGGCATCCACAGCTTCTGTGGGCAACCTGTTCCAGTGCCCCACCACCCTCTCCGTGAAGAATTTTTTCCTGAGCTTGTCCTGAGCTTGTTTTGAGGGTGACCCCCATTTCATCTCAGCCTGTCCCCTGTGCAACCTAAAACTCCCCTCCCCTTTCTGCATGTAAACCTGCTGGCATTTATAAAATCTGCTTCGTAAGTGCAGGTTTTGTTTCTGTGCCTCATGGTGTTCGCAAATAGCTGAATTTCCAATGAAGTGTAGTGCCTGGGGCTGCGTGTTCTGGCTTTGATTGGCTTAGTGCCTTGTTTTGAATAGTGCGATCTGTAACTCACGAAGAACAGCCTCTTACTTCTTCACATCCACCCTGGACACATTTTCCAGCCCAGTTGGAATGAGACATGATGAAAATTAGTTCTGTAATTAAGAAAACGTTGAACCTCTTGTGTGTGTTAGGCAAATGAGCTAAAGCTTTTAGCCAAGCAATTAAGTGTTAAGGTTTTACTGTAAGGTGAATGTAAACTAGATAATTTCTCCAGCTAAGCTTCCCATAATCATTCCATTACTATGAATTCAGTACAGTGCAGAAGGGAGGCAGCATAGCATGATGGATAAGATTATTATTGAAGATTATTGCAGTACAAATGAGCAGTGAAGGCCCCAGCTGAGGTTATGGTTGCACTTTGATAGGAGTTTTACTTTATGGAAGGATAAAAGACAGAATTTGCTGGAGCTGTCATGATTTAAATAGACCAAAAGACGCAACAGAAAAAATTTTCTGTGCGTAGATACAGATTGGAGATGCAGAGGGATTAAATGCCGTGCCTTCCATGAGTCTGGGGAAGCCAAACTTGGTCTTGTGGCAAAGGCACTGGTGTGTGTGAGAGGTACAGTACAGCCCGTGGGAAACATAAGCCCTGTTCCACTATGGAAGGGGAGGTGGGAGAGGGCTGTGGTTAGTGCTGTAGTATGGATGCTAGTTTACTCACAAATTTTGTTTTCGTTTCCTTCATCTGCTCTGTGTCAGTGTGGGTTAGTTATTTTAACTTCATGGCTTTCACTGTCTTCTGTGGGATATCAAAGTACTCAGTTGAGTTTGCAGCATATTCTGAGGTCTAGGGACAAGACTGCTCTTGAAGTGGTAATTTGCTGCTTCTCTTGTTACAGTATATTGAATTTACAGAAGAATTTTTATCTGACTATCTGACGAGGGTACAAACTTTTAAATGGGGTGGCTTCTTACTAAAACCATATTTCTTGATGTTGTGTTTATCTCATCTTTGCACTTAGGGATGCTCGCTGACAGCGGTATTGGTCCAGTTTCAATATGTGTATGGCTTTTTTTGGTTTTTGCTTGTTTGTTTTGCTGATCAAATCGATATGATAGTTATTTAAGGTAGTGTCTCAAGATTATGGAAGAAGGTCAAGGCAATTTCAAAAGCCGTTTGTCTTTGTATTTTGTTTCTCAGCATGGAAGCTGTTACTAATATTTCTGGCTTTGTCTTTCTGTAGGCATTCTTGCCAGCATTTGTGTGCTCATTGAAGGTGTCTCCACTCATAGAAAAAATAAGTGACCACAAGGATTTTAAGAAACTTCTCAGGACACGGAACAACGTACTAGTGCTTTATTCCAAGTCTGGTAAGTCCCCCTTGTTTTTGATGTCACGGATGTTTGTGCTCAACAAGGTGTCTGCATTTGAACATCTGTGTGCATGTTTGGTTACCTGTGTACACACTCAGATTCCTGAGCTCTTTGCCCTTACTTGCTCTCTGTTCGGTGTTGCCTTACGTGACTGGCAAGGTGCTTCTGTGTGACTACAAGGGCTTCTTCAGGACTGGTGTCCTTGTTCTAACTCAGAGACTCCTGATGATTCAGGATTGGAGTTGTCTGAATTTGGTCATCCAGTTGCTCTGTCTGATTGGCAAAGAAGTGCTTTATTCTGGCTTTGTCTCCAAAACCGGCTGCTCATAATAGCTACCAGCCAGAGTTGCTGGTGTGTTTATCACAGAGGCTTGCAAATTTCAATTTCCTGGTGACACTAAAAGGCTGAATGAATAGTTACAGTACTGAAATCAATCAGTCTTTGCTTCTGACAGTCTTGGGTGTCCCATGGTTGTCTTTCAACTTTAGTTAACAAAATATAAAAAATAAAAAATTAGCTGCTTGTGTAAGAGGACGAAATGGCTTGTTTCACGTCATGCCACCTGTCCCCTGGAATCTCTTTGCTGTCTTTTCTCATTCAGGCCCTCCTTTCGGCTGTTTGCTGTTGCTCTTACCTGTCTGTTTGCTCTTCCTTTTGCTCTGTTCTGCTCCTGCTGTGTCTTTTCTCCTTTGTCACCTTGTTTGTTTTGACGTGTTGTTCTGTGTGACACTGTGTAAAATGAAGAAACGATCTTTAAGCTCCATCCCAAGTGCAGAACGTTGCTGTGCGTGTGGAAACCATTGGACAGCAAGATGTAAAATGTGTCACCGAGGTGATTTTCCTTAGTGCTGTATTGTTGTTGCTTCCTTTTCCTTCCGGCGAGCAATATAAGATAAAGCTTTGTTTGGGAGTTGGGTCCTCCCTTTCTGACCTGTTGCAGAGGTCTTATCTCAGTTAAATACAGTGATGTTGGTAGAGTTGCTCTGGGTTTATAATGTGGCAAATTGGAGCAGTATGTGGTGACCCGGTATCAGGGAATTTTGCACAGAAAAATATGCAGGTGCTGAGATAATTAACTTTGTTTCCTAAATATATGCTTATTCTTAAACAGTTAAAATTATGGATGTGACTTAATTTTTGTGAAAATATTTGTGTTTTGTGGTAGCGGGGAACTTGGGAGTGCTTGAACCTGGCCAAATGGTTTTGTAGTAACAGGTTCAAAGTAAAAGTCATAAAAGAATTTCTAACGTTTTTTGATTTTGAAAGGAACGCTTTAGATAAAAAAGACATCTGTATTATTCAGCTTTTTAAAGGGAAAATTTTCTTTTTACGCTTAATATTTTAAGTGGTGGTTGCTTTCATTTTTAGAAGCACAACTAGAGCACTTCAGCTCTGACACTCATCAAATAAATGTTGCCCTATGGGCATTGTTCAAAAGCTGTGTTGTGGAGATTTCTCTTTTTCTGTTTTTGTTATTTAATTGGTTCGTTTTAGCAGTCCAAAGCATTGCACAGAGAGCTGACTGTGAGATTAATGTTTCTTCCTAGAACAGTGATTCTTGCACAATTAGAAGCCTAACTGTCACTCAGAAAGAGGAGAGGGGGAAAATTTTGAAAGTGTGATTCTAATCCCAGATATAAATCCCCTAGCTGTGGTGAGATGTTGGCCAGCATCCGATCGTACTGCTGGAACAAAGGCTTTGCTTCTCAGCTGAGCAAAGCTAGATGAATGTTTCTGTCTCGTGCAGAAAATTCATTGCTTTCAGGAGATGTCCTCATTTATAGGAGATGTTTAGTTCACCCTCCCAGATGGGTATCCTCCCAGGGCTGCTTAACTAGTAAGTCTTCTGGGACAAGTCCATCCTATCCTGAATGCTTATTTTTTAAAGGATGTTTGTCAAACTGTTCGGCTCTAAGTACCTGCGAAGAATTCCCCCATATGTCTATGTCCCGGTGTTGGACAGAGGTGGCAGTTTCATGTTTTCAGTGTTGGGGGTAGAGTTTCTTCAGGGCGAATGCATGTGGGCTGGTGTCCCTGATGGCATCAGGCCCAAGCAAAATCCAAAGTAATTTCTGGCTGAGGAGATTGTTGAGATGATAATTGTGGAGGCTTAGAGATTATTTGAGGGGGCTGTCACTCCCCTCTGGCTCTACTTGTCTACTCTGACCTATATAGGCCTTTACTTTCTCAAATGTTGGAGACAAGGTACTGGTCTACAGAGGCATTCTGCCGTCCCCAATCTAGCCATTCTTATATTCAAGTGCTTGCAGTAGTTGTGAGCAGCAGCAGTTTCGATAGATCTGGGAGAGACTCAGGGTTTCTATTTTCTCTTTCTCAAGGCAGGAAACAGTTTCTGTTAGATTTTTGGGCAAATTGGCAGTTGTTGGAACCTCTGTATTTCTTTTCTCCTGAGCTCGTCTTGTTTGTCAAGGTCTGTTTGGATTTCTCAAATTTATAGGACAGGGTACTCTGTGACTTAAAGTTTATTTCATGAGCTCGTTAAGAAATGTAATAAACACAACAAACAAGGGCCCAATCCTCTTTTTCCCAGACTAGTCTGTCACATTAATTCACTTATTTGCCATTCAGAGAATCACAGAATCTTTTAGGTTGGAAAAGACCTTTAACATCATCAAGCCCAACCATTAACCCAGCACTGCTAACTTTGACCTAGTGGCCCTACTCCCAGCATCCATCAGGCCTTAGCATGAGCTGGGTCAGCCAAAATCTGAGATGGAGGCGAGTGAAGAGTCACACACGTTTTTCTTCCATGTTTATTTATAATACCATTTATAAGACTGTTTTGGAGTGGAAGTGTTTGGCCAAATCTACGCATGTGGCATGGCATTATAAAATAAATCTCTGTTGGGTATTTATAATACAGCCAGTTCTTGGAAGGACCTTTCCTGGATGCTTTCTGCTGATAGTTTTGAGCTCCTCATAACTGTTGGTTTGGGTAGTTTGCAGGCTTATTGTGAGAATAAGTGTGTGATTTTCCGTGTATGACAGGGATAGAACTGAGGCAAGCAGAGATGCTGAATGACTTGCCTTTATAGCTGATGAAAGTCCTAAATGAAGTTGCCCAAATTAAAAGACAGTGCTACAAAGCGGGTGATGTCCAGCCACGGGAAAAAGGCAGTGTTGGGATGGAAGCTGGTTTGCAGGAGAGGATGCACTGTAGCTCGTAGGTCAGGGAGTGTGCCTGGAGGTATGAATTTCTGTGTGTTTTTTAAGGGGGGGTTGAGGGAAGGAGCCACCCAACTTGAGCTGCAGCCAGCATTCCTTCTAGGTTACAGAAGGTTTTACTGATCCTTCTCATACTGGTTTCTTCAAATCAGACAAAATGTTCTTCCAGTGCTTCAGAACAAAGAGATTCACCAGTGTGTTTTTCTGTGTGGAGTAAAAATGTTGTTGTTAATTTATTTTTGTTATTATTTTATTTTGTTTTCTAGCTGCTGCTGCGGAAAGCTCACTCAGGTTACTGTCCAGTGTGGCCCAGGAGGTGAAAGGACGAGGTACTATAAGCTGGATAGACTGTGGGTATGTGTCACACTGGCTTTCTCCTTTTTTCCTTGCCCATTTTGGCTTTTATTGCTGAATTAGCTTTTTGATGGCTCTGAAACTTCTTGCCTGTACCCAAACCCACGTCATTCTGTGCAGTTGCTTCATAGCTGTAAGGAGCCTACATCTTACTATCCTCTCTTCCTTTGGACCAGTGGTGGGGAATCTTTTTTTTCTTATGGCTGTTGTTGCTTCCTCTCTGACAGTATGTTTTTCAGCCTGAAGCTGGAGACCCCAGCTAGCATTGCCTTTCATGTGGGGCATGGAGCATGGAAACTCTGACTGCTCCAGCTTTCCCACAAGCTCAGGGAGGAGAAATCCTGTTTGCCTGAGGACATGTTCTGCCTCAGCTGGAGGCCATCTCAGTTCTGCTCCAACAGCAAATGTCACACGAGCAATAGGGCTGTTTGCTTGGATTTGAAGTGTCCACCCCTTTGTGTTTCTCACTAAAATATCTTTTAAAGAACTTCCTCTGTGCTTGTAGGTTCGTGGCAATTTTTAATGTGAATGCAAGGAAACATGTTTTTGTAAGTGGTTGCTTGAGTGGGGAGGAGTGAACAGGTGTGTACTTTCTGGTTTGCAGATATGAAAGCCTCCACTGTGGTTCTGCTCAATAACACGTTGCCTGTGGTTTTAGCTTGTGTATCGTAGTGTCTCTCTGCCTCTGCAGTTTTGAGAGCATTGCCTGCAGGTGGCAAATTCCCCTTCCTATGCTGCAGAGGAGCAGCTTACTGCCTACCTGTGTGCTTGGGTGTATTGCTATGGCTTGGACAAATTGTATGCTGTGTGCAAATCAAAGTCAGCTCTGAAAATCATGTGGCTCCCTTAAAATGATACTTTTGAAACAAACCTCCACCCATCAAGCAGTGACCCAGAATAAGTCATTGGTAAATCAAAGTTAATGTGCTTTTGTTGTCAGGTAACCTGTCTTGCTCTCCCCCTGCCACAGGCAGGTATCTCTCCTGTGGAGTCCTCTGCTTCTGCCTTCTGTTTGCATTCTGCTGGGCTCCTCCAAATGCACAGGCACTTTATTCTCTGCCCACCTGATGGGGACAGCATTCCAAGTCATCAGCTGGCAGGGAAAGTAGGGCTGCTCCTCAGAAATCAAGTGAAGCCTGTACCACTTCCCACCTGCTGAAAAGCCAGCAAATAAATTGTATTGGCCCTGATGAAAAGAAGGTTGTGTGGAGATCTGATGTAACTCTCAAATCTAGTCTCCCTTTTTAACCAAAGGACTGATAAACAATTTCTGGTGGTCAGTAATGATGGCTAGCAAATAGGATACTGGGCCAGCTTCTTGGCTTTAGTTTCTAATCATCCTTGTTTGTGACTGTGGAGTGGTCACTACCTTTTTGTCTTCTATTTCCCTTTTGGTTTGGGCTACCTCTGGGTTACTCACTCTGTGTGTGCATGGTAAGCACGATGCGGAATGATGAGGCTGTACATCTGGCTTTTCAAAATGCTGCTGTAATATGACTAAGCAATAACATCTCCAGGATTCATTTTAGTTCTGGTTGGTGAAGGAAAGGTTGAGCGTTTAGGACTTGAAATCCAGGGAAGTTTTGGCACTTAGTTCAATGTGTCAGGCTGCTCCTGAGTTTGTGAAGTGATGGTGATGAGGAGAAAAAAGTGTTGTTTGGTTGTGCTGTAAAATAAACTTAATTCATCAAAGCCCAATATGCTCTCCCCTTCCACATGTTGTCATACAAAACCAAACTTTGTTATGGAAGTTACTTTCAAGAAATGTATTTTAAAGTCTCTTCCAGGTAGTGCTTTAATACATTTCCTAGGAAACTTGGTACTTGCAGTGCCTTTCCTCTGACCATGGTGGAGAAATACTTAAGCTTCCTATTCGTAATGAAAAGTGAATTATTCCAAGAGAGTGAAGCAGCCTGCTGAATGTTATACTGTAAGAGGTTGGGAGTCCTGGGAATAGATTTGTAGGTTCCCAGAATGTGCTTTGGTGCCAGTAACATCACAGACTGCCACTTGCTGAGTGACAGGCAGTGGATAGGGTGCTGTAACATGGGAATAGCTGTAACTTTCTCTTGAAGGGTTGAACGGTGCATCCTTCAGATCACTCGTTTAGGAAGAACCTGGAAAAAACAGATGATCCGACCAACTGTAGCTGGGTATTTGTTGGAGATGTCTCTTCTGTCACTCCCTTCTGCAGAGGGATGTCAGCTTGTGAACTTTCCTCAGGGGGCAAGGGTGAGCTGGAGGACTGGCTTGTGGCAAATGAGGTCTTGGTGCCTGCAAAAAAAACCTCCAAACCAAGTTTTGTGGTTGATTTGCATGTTAAACCTTTAAAACATTCTGAAATCAATCTCAGTGTTGAGGGAACTTTTTAAACACTTTTTTTTTTTTCCTTGATTTTTTTTTTTCCTTGGCTCATTGCTTTTCTCTATCGGTACACAGGTGGCTGCAAACTGCCGCTCACCTCATGGCAGGGATAATGAGAGAGGCTGCGGTAGTGCTGTCGGTCCCCGGTCACAAAGGGCCAGTTGTCAGGCCTGAGCAGCTGAGTCCTACCAGAGCTGCTCAAGCCATTCTCCCACCCCAAGTGTGCTGTGGAGCTTATTTGCAAGTCTCCACACCGAAACAAACGGCACACAGATGCAGGGATATTTACAGCACAGGCTCAATTTGTTTTACAAATATTGACAAGAAGTGGCTTGTTTGGCAGCAATATTTAGCAGGGAATTTTGGCTTTGCTTTTCGCATCCTGCTGTAGCGGGCGACTTTGCCTTCGGATCCAAGCATTGGTAAGGCTGGCATACATGCAGAGTTGTGGTTTGCGTCTCTGCTTCCCTGTGGCGATGCCGGCAGTCTCTTTCTTTTTCTTTACCGGCAGTGCTTTTTTTGTTCTTGTCATTCTCCCCCTTCCCCTCATTTTCAGGAGAAAGCAAGAAGGTACTGCTCCGCTGATGGAAATCACTACGGATTGCTAAGTCTCAGCAGTACGTTGTGTATTTCATGCGGTGGGGGGAGTGTGCAGGTCTGCGGCGGGTGGGCTGCCGGAATTGCTGGCAGACATGGAAACCGCGCTCCGTTGCCTTGGCCTTCATTGGGTCTGTGGTATGAGGCAGAGGTTACACTCAAGCTTTCAGTTCCAGGTTGAGTGGTCTCGGGGAGACCAGGGTGGTTAGTTTTTCAGCATAATGTGGGGAAATACTTGGTTTCTTGCTGAGACGGTTAGTGTGGAGTAGAGGAGGTTGCCTCTTAATTTGTCACTTTGAGGCAGGATAGCAGAGGTCCCCAGAGTCCTGGGTTTAGGTGCAGGGCTGGGAAGTGCCAGGTACCTGCCTTTCCCGCGCAGTTACGTTGCGTGCCAGGCTGGAGCAGGGCCGTGCTGAGCACAGCATGCCCAGGGACGCCGCTGCGTGCAGTATTGCAGATAAGCTCCTCGTTCAAGCGAGATTTCAGTCTGTTTGCACAGGCAGAGATGAAGGGGCAGGACGAGAACTGCTTGCAGCACTGAAGTGGTCACTGTTTGCTCATAGCGTATGTGGCTCTGTACACAGTTCAACATGGAACTGTTTCGATCGTGAATAAATTCCCACAAACTATGTGACAAAAATATGTTTTATTTCCATGTTTCAATTAGGAAGTCCTTGCTGAGGCGTTTGAATGAACCGTGGTGTGAGAGATGACAGAATATTGAGTTAATAATGCTTGGTAAAACGCAGTCTTCTGTGTGATGGCTAGGCTTTTTGTTGCTGTTGGTTTGAACAGAGTGCTTTCTGCTACCATTTCTTTCTTTCTTTCCTTCCTGTGATACCTGGTGCTTTGTTTGTGAGTCAAAGGTAACAGGTAGCAGGGGTAGAACACAAGATTGTAGGTTGGTAAATCTTCAGAGTCTCCCACAGACAGATCAGTCATCTTATGAGCAAGTGTTTTGAGACTCATGTTTGGGGAGATACCACATTAATAGGATCTGAAAGTCCCAGCTTCTGTTCCCTGCTCTGCAAATGATTCACTTTTTACTTTCTGCTGATAAAAAAGTGTATCTGTTTTCCAAGCAACTGGGTAAATATTGCCGGATTCATTAGTCAATGTTTGGAGAACTTTGAAAGGAAAAATGCTACGGCAGCACAAATGAGCGCTCTTCATTTAATGCGTTCAGATGCCATTGGGATGGGCATGTAAGCAAGCAGAGGGCTATTACTGAATTATTTTTAGTAGGAGGTTGATAGGAATTTTGCAAATGGAAGAGCTTTGTAGGGAGTTGAAAGCTTAAGAAGCCTGCAAAAAAGTAAGACTTGCGCTTTTGTGCAATGCCCCCAGGTCTGGTTTTGAAGAGTAATCAATATGAAGTTAGCCTCTAGCCTTCTTGAGTAGGTTTTGTCACAGATCATGGGGTGGCCAAGGATTGATGTTACTTGAAAGAGTATAACCGGTTTGGGTGAAGTGGAAAGAAAATAAAATGGTTTTGTTCAAGAGAAGAAAATGTGTTAGGCAGGTTATAAAATGCATTGTGGTTAGGTGCAGCTTTGAGGAGGTGGCCAAAGAGGTTGAAACTTGCTCTTTCCATTCTGAATGGGATGTAGTGAACGCTCCTGAGTTTTTCTGTTACTGAATTGTCTCGATTTTTTTATTGACTATAACTCTTGACTAATTGTGGACTGGTATTTTCAAAAAGGCACCCATTTCTTTGGCTCTGGGTAATTATTTCCTGCTCAAGCTTGCATGATTCCCTTTACTGTAGGTCCCAAACATAAACAGAGCTGTGTGATATTTCCATCTGCTGTCATAGCGCATGTGCTTGGCTTTAGCACATCAGACTGCTAGGAAGAGGAAATGCCATCTGCTTAAAATGTTTGACTAATTTTTGGTTGGTTTTAATCCCACTTTTTCCACTTTCATGTGTCATTCTTGTCCCTGTTGTGTGTACTGTGCCTCATTCTTGTAGCCCTCATCCCAAATAATTACTTGTTGTTGCAATCCCATGCCAATTAGCTTAAAGGTAAGGCTGTAAT